TACGGATTTTTTGTACACGCATCTACTTCTACAATTTTTTAGATACCTGGTTGAAATTTTTAAAGAGGTTAAGTTTTTAAAGAGTTAGGTGTGCGAGTAGAAACCTGCACATTGCTTGATTAGAGTTTTTAAGTGTTTAAGTAGAAACCTTCGCACACAAAGCTTCCTCTATGAGGAAGCCAACACAAATAAATACTGAAAATTATACATTGAAAAAAATAATGCTTCATCAACTTGCACACTTAATAACTATGAGGAAGCAATGTGCAAGTTTCAACTTGCACAATTTTTAATAAGGAATATTTAATGGATAATGGAACAAAAATCTGCAAATTAAATAATTTCTTTTGATAACGTTACGAAATGTTGAGTTTTTAATACTTTATTTTTTTAAATATTCAAACTTTTGTAGCAGAGATGGGATGGAGTGAGGTAGGGTGGATCTCACACTTTGCGTGGATAGTTTTTAGATAGCATTGTATTTTCTAAACACAACAGTTAGGTAGTGGATCTCGCTTCCTTTGCTAACAGGGCAAAACGAGACCTTTTATTATGTAATTTTACATGGACTTTCAACTTTTCACGTAAAAAGAGGGTCAATATTGCAGTCAAAAATCCAAAATGTAGCAAAATAATAAAAATTTAAATATTTAAAAAAGTAGTTATTTCCGCAAGTTGGCACAGAGGCTTTCGATTTCTTTTAGTACGTACTTACGTGCCTGCAAAAGTAGATTATAATCGGAGGAGCTCGCATACGGAACTCTTACCAATATTAATGCAATAGGTACCATTCTTCTAAAAACTGCTTTGAGAAAAATGAGATTTATGATTATGAGAATTACTTACTTTTACGTAATACTGATTCAAATTGTTACTTTAATAACTAGTGTTTTAATAAAATATTAGACATACACGAAAACATCGCATAGGTATATGTACAAATATTTTGTGGATAGATTGGTTATTGACTAATTACAGCACAACTATACTCCAATGTCCAACGAGAGATTGAGGATAAAGTCCCTAGAGCGTGGCGTACCGTATAAATATGTAAATAGATGTTCTGTGGAGACCTGTTTTCGTCCGACCTACTTTTAATCTCTCGTTCGACGGAGTATACATTTCAAAATTAAATAACTATAATATAAAAAAATTAATTTTTATTGTATTAAGTTCATATAGTTACTTCACAGTAATGTCTAAACAATTTTATTTTATTTTATAATTTTTTCGCACTTATTATAAGACAATTTCAGTTTTTAGTTATTACAGTTATATATATATTATAATCTCTTTATAATAAAAGAGTAATTTTTATTACAATAAGAACATCTCGTTTTTTGTTTAAAAATAATGTATAAGCAACAAAATTGTTGATTAAAAGTTTATTACATTAGTTTAATCGGGACATATACAGCTAATAAAATGCTTGTATCAATGTGAGATTTCCATAGTTGAAAGTAAATATTTATTATAATATATTTTTATGTTTAGCTCATAAAAATGTAAGAGCAATCTGGACACATGGTGGTCTTCTGAGTGCGCAGGAAGCTATTTGGAAAGGCGTACCAATGATCGTAATGCCTTTCTTTGGAGATCAAAAATCCAACACAAGAATATTAGTAGCTAAAGGCGTTGCCATATACTTGGACATTACAACTTTGTCCACGCAGTCGATATTACACGCAGTTGAAGAAATACTTTATAATGAAAGGTATCATACTTTGATCATGTTTTAATAATTATTATTTAAGCAGTAAATATTAACAATATAGCTACATTTCAGATAATTACTAAACTCTAATATTTAATATAGTATAATCGATTTACAAATTCCTATAAAAACAATTGTTTATAAAATTATAGATTATGCTTTCCTGTTTATGTGTCTTGTCATATATTTGGCTTTTCCTTTAATTAAGATGCGTTTCTTAAAATGTAATTATTTATTTCATTATTAATAGTGTAACTTTTTATACAGTTATACGAGAAACATGAAACGGTTATCCAGCGAATTCCGGGATCGGCCAATACCGCCATTAGATTTAGCTGTTTGGAGTGTTGAATACACCGTCCGCCATCCAAATGGAACTTTAGTAACACCGCTGAGATCTCAGAGCTGGATGGAACGAAATCTGATTGATGTTTACGCATTTTTATTTCTTAGTTTCTTCATAATATTGTTAAGTATATTCTTTGTAATAAAACTATTGATTAATCTTTATTATAATTATGTGTACACTGCATCTAATTTACGCAAGAGTAAACAAGCGTAAGTCGCATTAAAATGTATTAACAGGCTTTGCGTGCTGTATATAATGTTAATGTAAAGAAGTGAATATAGCATAAATATCGAAAATGTTGTATTAATTGCATTGATATTGTAATTAATAATAAATTTTGTTATACTAAATTGTAAAAAAAAAATGAAGATCATGGTAAATTTTAAAAACGTTTAATAAAACAGTTTTGATGTATAAAAGCTCTTTTCTGATGACAATAAATAAAATAACACATTATTGTTTAGCCAAATGTTTATTCAAACATTTACGCGAATATAAATATTTTTTTAAAATTCGATCTCTGAATGTAAGGAGACATATGTCCACTTTGTTTAGGCAATTAAGTGTAATCATTGATATGAGACAAAGAATATTCCTGCAAAAAATTTGCGCTGTTTGAAAATGAATTTCGTTATAAAAACTCAAGAAATTCCATTCTAAAATAAAATTCTATAATAAGTTAATTTTTTGTTTTCCGATGTCAATAGTTTTTTTTGTAGGTAGAGATGTGGAAGAAATGCAAAAGTCAATTAAATTAGATCTTTCCAAAAAGAATTAAGGTCGTCGTTTTTTAAAAATAGAATTGTATGATTTTTTTATCTGGTATGATTCTTCTAGTTATTCCACATGTACAGGGTGTCCGACGGAAAGTTATTAAAACTATTAAAATCAAATAAAATTAAATAAAAGTTTTCCATTAGACAGAATAGTAGACTCAAATAAAACTTCCTAATACCTTCCAAGTCCCTCTATCAGTCGCTACTTCTTTTCTTTCACCGGTGTGAGTCACCGGTCATATTTTTCCGTACCTGAGCGCAGTCCATACTGACCATACTATATGTCGAGACGTAACAAAGCTGCGATTCTGTTGTGACGATCGAACGACAGATCTACTAACACCGTCGGTAAACATGCGCTCGATCTGCCACTGGTACCGACACAAGCGCCTTATTTCATCACATTTTCACTATTTGTTAGTCAAATACACGGTTACGGTATATTATGTATTACTATATACTATATTTTATATCACACAATTACGTTACCATAGTTCAACCTAAGTAATATGTATAAATCCAAAAATCCAACCTAACTTGCAAGACTTCAAAATTTAAACATTAAAATTTAAACATTATAATTTTGTTAAAGAAAATTAAGAAGCTATTACCACTTGGGTTGGAATAGAAGACCCTTGAATGGAAACATAATTGTCTTTAAAAGGATCCTATAGTGGTAGTCGTTACCGACATTTATAGTTAAATGAGTTAAACTTTTAATTGGCTTTACGGAATTGCAAAATTCTTTTACAGAATTGAAGTACGCACAAAAATGTAGTTCGGGCTGGTCGACTTTATATCAAAAATTAAAAAAAATTAAAAATTTGAGCACGTATAGAGCTGTCTCATTGCAACGACAATATTTGCTTATACAAAAATACTGCAGTTTATATATACAAAATGAGATACGGTACGAACTAGGGAAAACATTTCAGAACAATATCGTGCAATTATTATAGAACGAAGATTGAAAGCCTAGAGAAAAAAGATCCCTGCATAAAATGTCGGATTGAAAAGAATTAATTTAAATTCTGCTTTCTGATATGAAGAAAAGGATTGAAAAGTATTGGTTCGCATAAAACTTTACCGCGCTGAATGTGAGACAGCAGTGGTTGATGCTTCGCATTGAAAAGTATTGGATCGCATTAAATTCACCCAAAAAAATATTCTGTCATTTATATTCACCCGGCATAAAAAAAATTATTTTTTTCGAAATTTTATTACTATTTTATAACTAAATTTGTTGATTAAGGTATCCGACTTTCACGGAGGAGCGTATTTTGTAGGCGCTTAAGCAGGGCCTCAGCAAACTCTCGTATATTGCATTAAACTTATATAAAATCAAGTTATAATTGATTATTATGTTTAATTATAAGAAAAAAGTGAAAATATTATGTGTATTTAGAAATTTTTCGGTAAATTTTACTGTCAGAACGATATGGCAACGCTGCGCTTTTCAGGGCGCCAATTGTAAAATGTGAAGTTGATAACAAAAGTGTCAATGTAAGTGTCAATTTCGTTAATCAAAAAATATTGTGACATTTTCTTTTTATCAAAAAGAGATTTTATAATAATAATGAGTGATAAGAAACATAAAGTGAGGAGTAAGGTGGGCAAAATTAAGAGACAATTTGTGAAAATAAAAGAGAAGCAGCGCACTCAAAATATTATCAATTCTAAAAAAAAAAGATTCAATAAGGTAAGGTTACGGAAACGGTAATATTATTAATTAAATAACTGGAAGAACAAGATAATTGGCAATTGTAACTGTAATTTATATTTTGGTAAAGGAGTCCGATTTTGTCCGATATTGATATATATTTTTGAATTATTTTTCTTTTTTAAAACATAATAAATAGTTGATAATAAACCGTACGTAATGAACTGAAGTGTGACATGAGCGCACAGCTTGCAGCGTTAATTGCCAAATCATTCCTTGAAAGTCGCCATTAAAAATATTCATCTATAAACCACATTTCAAGTAAACTTTTAACATAAATATTTTGTTTAAATATTCGGTGACTCTGTATTTTTATCGGCACTATCGAAAGTATAGAGTTTAGCGAATATATATGTAGCGCAGTTAATATTTAATATCTCAAGATATTTGATAAACAAATTATTACATTGAAATGTAAAAAATAGACTTTTTCGATAACGTCACATATAAAATATCGAATTTTAAAAGTCATAATTCTTCTTTATATGTTCGGTAATGTGGTTTTTTCTGGCGTAAAGATATGCATTTAAACTTTCTCGTGCCAAAAAATCAGTTAATTCTTAAGACTTTGATGTCATGAAAGGAATACCTTAAGATGAAGTCTATGGCCGCGTTCAGGAAACACAACTGTTGAGTGAGCGCTCATTATGATTGGTTCTTACACTTAGATCCGGAGTAGAACCAAAGGTAAGAACCAATCATATTAAAGAATCACTGACCGCTCACTCAACAGTTGTGTTTCCTGAATGCGGCCTATGATTATAAATATTTTCTCGTATTTGAAAAAAACACTTATCTGGGGTGCGTTCGGAAACGTCACCTGTGTGCAAACGAGTATACTCCCTTTTCTTTCTATCTCAGCGAGTTAGAAGGAGAAGAGAGTATACCCGTGGGTACCCAGGTGACGTTTATTTCGAACGCAGCCCTTGGTGGGATTCGAAATCGGGACCTCTGGATCGTGAGCTAACTGCCTTACGTGGTAGACTACTTCTTAATTTGATGTAAGTGTTATATATAGTCTACCCTGCATAAAACGTCTTATTCAAAAATATTGTTTCGCTTTCACGAGATTTTTTCATGAATTCTGCTTTGCAACAATTTCGGATTGGATCACGGGTCAATACTTTTCAGTGCGATACTGGGAATAGAACGTGAAAATCTTGTATGCCTCTGAATCCAAAAACAATTAGCAGAAGAAGTGAATCCTTTTTAATGCGAAAATTCGCATTTGTTTGAAGGTTATCGATTGCGATTGAATGCGAGGAATATTTTAAGCTAAGTGAATTCTTTTTAATGCGTAAGCTGATACTTGTTTGTTAAAATTTTGCGTTTTAACACCGCAGCCAGGCGCGTGGTGGGGATAGCGCATACAAGGAAAGAGCCGTGCACACTGTACATGCGCACACGTATACGGCTTTTTCCTTGTGTGCGCTACCACCATGCCCTAATCACACGCCTAGCATGGCAGCAGTAGCAGCAATGCTGAAACGCAAGATCGGCTGGATCGGCATGCTCGTGCTCGTGCTGTATTCATTATCTCGTCCAATCCCGGATAAGGTCCCGACCATTATTTATTAGGAATGCCATAAGAAAGGTTTTCTTATTTGTGTCTAATGAGGCCCTTGTAAAGATTTGATAAAAATGTTTTAACTTTATAAATATACTTTTTTCATAAATGTATTTACGAACACAACATAATGAGCCGGCACTGGTTTCTGACATTCACCCGACATTAAGAAATATTATATCATATATCCAATTCAAAATTTTATTACTCTTTTTAAACTAAATTTGTTTCTTAAGATAATTTTTGAAAAATTATATATTTGCGCTGATGGTTATGACATATGTAGACTATATATAACACTTACATCAAATTAAGAAGTAGTCTATAATACCACGTAAGGCAGTTAATTGGCTCACGATCCAGAGGTCCCGAGTTCGAATCCCACCAAGGTGTTTTTTTAAAATACGAGAAAATATTTATAATCATAAACTTCATCTTGGTATTCCTTTCATGACACCAAAGTCTTAAGAATTAAAGCGGGGAGCACACACTTCTGCATAACGCATAATGCGTAAGCATAAGAAATTTGATTGGTCCATACACATGTGCATAAGGAAATAGACCAATCAGTTTTCTTATGCTTATACGCATTATGCGTTATGCAGAAGTGTGTGCTCCCCGCTTAACTAATTTTTTGGTACGAGAAAATTAAAATGCATATCTTTACGCCAGAAAAAAATTAAACTACATTACCGAACATATAAAGAAGAATTATGACTTTGAAAATTCGATATTTTATATGTGACATTATCGAAAAAGTCTATTTTTCACATTTCAATGTAATAATTTGTTTATCAAATATCTTGAGATATTAAATATTAACTGCGCTACATATTCGCTAAATTCTATACTTTCGATAGTGCCGATAAAAATACAGAGTCACCGAATATTTAAACAAAATATTTATGTTAAAAGTTGACTTGAAATGTGGTTTACAGATGAATATTTTTAATAGTCCAGTCATTTTAGGTTTTCTGTGCAAAAAAATTAGTAACCACTATTTTTTTTTTTTAATCGCTTTATTTCGTTGTTTTAAATAACATATTAAAAATCGAGAACGATACCGGGTGTGCTAAAAAAGTTATTCAAGGTCAAAGGTCACAAAAATCAGTTTTTTGCGAAAATCTCGTTTTGTATGGCTCGGAGGTCAATTAAGGTAGTTACAAAAAAGAAAGATCATGAAATTCTCTACAAAAATGGTTCTATTCATTTTTCACGTACGATGAACCGTTTGCAAAATACATAATAACAAATGTGTACGTCGAGCGTTGTATCTATTTCCGCACTACCTTTGAGGTAAGATACAAGGCGCGTTTTTTTTACATGGTGTCCCCAGTAGGCCTAATCCATGTCAAATGTAAAAAAATTACGTTTTTTAATTTTTTTTAAT